TTGTTTTGAAGCAGACTGATCAGAAGAGGGATCTGAGCTTTTGTCATTCAGCTGTTTTCGGGCAGATGGTCGGCTCCAGGGTACTCGGTTCTAGCACAGATGAAATCACTGGAATACTACCTTGCGATTGGATGCCTCTGACAGCCAGTCAAGTTGCAGTTTACGCCTTTTGTCCAAATTTGTCTGACTGTAACATGTTATTAATTGTCATTAATTAATTCCACAGTGACCTTTGACTAAAAAAAATCTTCACCTACAGTCCCAATGAATTCTTGTGCTAATCTCAAAGAAATTCTATTAAAGTATTCAGATTATTAGTTTAGTGGGATTGGAATCGACATGCGGAAAACCTGAAATATCTCCAACCACAATGTCACCAACTATCAAAAGCAGCTGTACGCGTGACGCTTATTGACTGTGTTCTACGACACTTGGTTAAAAATGAGGCTCTGTCCTAATACTGAGGATGCAAGCACTCAAAAATAAAACTCCTCTTCTAATCTTTTGTCTTTTTGTAAGACATAGACACACTGGCACAGCTCATTTAAAAAGAAATGGAGATGCGCACATACAGCATCTCATGTCATGACCACCACAGTAAACATTAAGTCCACGTGGTCCTAGTCCCAGATGGTTTCAGTCACCTGCCAGCAATGATGAGTCATTTAGATACATATCCTGAGGGGCTGTGTTGGTTTGGGATAAAAATGCCATGGATGGCAGCCAGGGGAGCCGTTATGGACTGTAAAAAGCACGAAACATAACAAGCCTCGTGGGAACTCAGTTTACGTACACAGACCAACTTCCACTTTCTGCCTCTGAGGAACTCTGTCTACTGCTGCCAGCAGAACTGTGGAGAGAGTAATGTGCATTTTTGTATCCGTGCTCGTGCTTGAGGTGGTGTAAAAGACACGAGTGTAAGTGTGTGTCCTTGTGTGTGCAGTTTTCCAATTATTACTTATGACAGAAAGGAAATCCAAAGGAGAAGGACGAGGGGGGGATTTTAATGGCCACAAATTATTTACCTTGCTGATAAAAAAAAACAAACAAACAATAAATGCACAGTTATCTCTTGTGAACAAATAATTTGTTCCAAAGTAAACTTACACTATCAAACTATCAGCCAGAGACAGATTAAATCCCAGACTCTAATCTAAGAAATTCTCAAAGTCAAAACCCAATCTCCTCGAAATCTATGCAATGGAAAAAATGACTTACCTTCTCAGATTAAAGGAAGATATTTTCATTGCTAAGTGGGAGAAGTGGACATTATATGGCACCAAGGAAAATTAATGAACGAACAAAACATTTAAGGTCTATAACTCTGTATATCTATTGATGCTTGCCCGTATAAAAGTACGTATATAAGCTGGAGTATGTATGCTGCGGAGTAAAGGCAGGTATGCATACGGTAGTTGATTAGAATTGGCACCCGAACCTTTTGTTCGCTTTAGTGTTTTTGTTTTGACTGTGTGTTTGCATGG